CCTAAAATAGTTTGATGCAGAAAATCAGAAATTAAATCTCAACAAAAACCTCAGAGAGTAGTCGAGTACTGGGATGAGATCATGAGAATGAGATGAGACTTACAAAACTTACAAAAGTAGTGAAGTTAACCGGTGAAGATGAGATGAGACTCGAGCTCGAATGTCGACTGGTCGTAACTCGATTCGCAGACTGATATCCTAGAGTCGCAGTCGATTCTCGTCTTCTTCTTCTCGTTCTCGATGATATCTCCTAAGTCCTAAGCACCGCGAACGCCCACGGCCCACCCCTACCGCAAAGGCTGAACTGAAGCAGTAAGCAAACCCTAATGCTAATACCCTATGTCGAACTCGAATTCTCGATGAGTCTGAGAGTCTGAGTGTTGGGAGTTGGGTAATTGGGTTTGGGGCGCAGCTGGGCCTGGCTGTGGGCGTGTGGGCTGTGGCCCAAAATCAAATAAAATAGGTAATTCATAATTGGGTTTGGGGCTTTGGGGTTTGGGCTGTATAATATATTAGCAAATTTCGGTATACCGAAATAATTCACTTATAAAACCGAAAACCGAACCGAAATACCGAAATTCACGTACCGAATTAGACCGAAATACCGAAAAAACCGAAACCGAAATATCAAATTAATTTGGTTCGGTTCGGAATTCGATTTTTCGGATTTTTTGCCCACCCTAGCTGAAGTTATGCGACAAAAACTGGTACGTTTGCAATTTTTTTTACAAAGCGGGCACAAGTTAAAACGTGACACAAAAAATGGGTATAGATGCAGATGCCCGACGAGCCGTGCCAGATCAATACCCTAAATAATTTAATTTTGCCCTGAATCGTATTCACGAGGAAAACAACCGTATGAAAATGTGTTGCATCCGAACTCAAATCAGTAATAGTAATTATGTAGCCAAGTCTGATTCCGGTACTGATTGCGAGATGTCAGATGAATGTAGATTTTATTAACCATATTAGACGCAAGAATTCCACGTTTTAGTGATGTTATACATTACATACTTTTTTATTCTATTATTTTGCACTATATAAAGATGGTTTCGTTCAAAAAAATATACCGACAAGTAAAACATCGTCACCCAACTCAAGCAGAGAAAATATTGATTGGTCAGTATTCTTAAGGACCAGAATGCTAGTGATAAAGGCAGCTCTAATCACAGTAACTACTCTACTGATTCTTTCTGTGATAACACACAAATCGAATTTGGCACAATAAGCCTCACGTTCTGACTGAACAAAATGACAATTTCCATCAACTAAAATATCCCGATATATGCAAGTATTATTGTGGACTACAATGTAAGTGGGCACATAGGCACGCTGAATCACAAAGTCTTGTTCGAGATGTGGAAATGCTTGCAACTCCTGTCCCAACAAGATTCTCAACAACAATGCCTCGACGGGATCGAGAATCATGCGAGGTTACAGTAAAGAGGATTAGAAAAGAGAACAATCGAATGTTTTTAAGACGCGGTAGGTTCTACATTGTCAAGTTGGCTGAGGAACAAGCGGCATTGACCGGTAGGAATTTAACATTAGTTGATAGAAGCAATTGACTTAACAAACGAAGATTATCTATCAGATGACAATATTGAGTGCGTCTACCCTACAGAGTAGTGAAATTCTTTTGATTTCATAGTGTATAATAATTTAGTTGAATATGAAACCTAATAACATAATTTTGAATAATATGCCATACTTCTTTATAAAAACAAACATACCAATAAAATGTAAAATAAATCACAAAATATACAATCTGCTGAAAAGATAACTGCTAATGTGACGATGATACAGAAAGCATACAAACAAGAAATACAACATTTCCAAACAACAAACAACAAACAATAAATCACATTTCAAGTTTAGATGGTCCCTCTGCTTTCCATCTTCATTTAATTATTTTTTTGAGATAATCTCTCTCGTGTTTAAATTCGGTAGACCTATGTTAAGGTATTTTTTTATTTGTTTTGATTCTTTTGTGTTCTAAGAAAATTCATGTTCTCTTTGGCTTCTTTGTGCTTAAATTGGTATTTAAACTTCATATTGTTTTGTAAAGACGCAGTAAAAATATCAACCGAGGAACTTTTCAACAACGAGTCTTGGTTAACCATTGGCTCCTCATGCCACCTAAAATAGTTGGGGCATTTATTCTACATCATACAACCAATAATTACTAATGGGTGAGTACAACCCCATATGCTAGATCAATATTAATCGAGAAAAATTACTCACATTTGAAAGTTTGCAACCCCAAAATCTTTGTTCAAGATTCATATTAGTCGTTGTTGAAGTCCTCAATTTCCGGTAATCTCCACAGTGACAAATATGTCGTTCTATAAAATGGCACTAAACTCAACTCTGTGAAGCATTAGAGATATGAGTCTGAGATGAAGTTAAAAGAAGAGAGGAAATCAGAGAGAAGTTCACTGCCTGCGAGGAGTGAACTAGGTATAGCGCATGCCTACTATCACTATATCCTTTTTTTTTTTTTACCGAACATCTATTAGCCTGGGGCGTTTGGCAGAAAGGTCCAGCACATTGGAGGCACGCGCTAAACCTAATTTAGTTCTTCCTCGCTTTTTTCTTTACTTTGGTTCAGGATCTTATTTGTACTCCGATTTATTACATCACTTTGAGGTCGTCTTATAAATTTTAAACATTCGATTTTAGCATGTGAGGAACCAATGTCAGCTTTTGATTCGCACATTGACACAAGATGGCCAATGTTTACGTTGATGACTCAATTGAGACCACATTCTCATATATTCAATTATTCATGGTGCGACACTTGACGAATTATCGCCAAAAACATATTTCCATGTCCAGTACCACTGTACCATCCTGATTAGATCACTTTATCCATAATATAGCACTCACACACACCAAAGTAGTATTATATTAGAAATTTTATCAGAGGCGGATCCAATATTAATTTTCTATGGGTTCAAACCCATTATATTTTTTAGGTTATGGGTTCATATCTACTATTTCTTGCAATTTAAGTGAATTTTTACACATATTTTACTGCATCCGCCCGTGTCCAGAAAGATGAGTGTGAGGATCATAATCTCCTTTGGACTCACAAGTGTGAGGACGATCATAATCTCCTTTTGCTTTTCAGTAGAACACCTCTACGGCTCCGGCATTGTCATTCTACTTATGCCAGATGATTCAAACTGGTACAACACACAACCTGTGCTGCTTTTGTACCAACTGGTCAATCTTTGTTTGTTGGTTCCTAAGTGACTTGCGAAACTACCTATAATCTAATGTTTTCAAGTAATCATTTTAACGAGAGGCTAAAACTATCATGATAGATTTCTATTGCCTTGAAAAGAATTTCTAACAGAACTCTCAGATATCATATGGTGAATAACTGACACAAAATGCTAAACCTAAACCTCATAACTATGGTGAGGTGACACAACTAAAAACTAACAGGCACCTCTATTGGCCCAGAAATAAGCATATAAGCAATCTTCATTCTATGATAGTAACATAACTAAGTAGCAAAGCCGAAAAGCCATACCTTACGTGTTATCCCAACTACAAGAAAGCTACAAACCAAAAAAAGGTTTAAAGGAGCATAGTGTTCGCGGTAGAGACCAGATGAAAGCAACCAGGACGTGCAAAAGTTTCAGGATAAACGTGATCTAGACTCGAAATAAATCTAATTCATAGCAAATCTAACAAGCTTAAGTGAAAGTTAAAGGAATAAATAGCTTCCCCATGATTGAAGGTAATAAATCAACTTCAGTTGGTATATTTTCAAGAGCAAATCTAACACCTATTGCTTCAATTTTCTTTTCTATTTATGATTGGGTTCAGTTCAACCCGATCCGGGTGCAAAATGATGAAACCAAAACTGTGAAACCTCATAAACTCCCAAATACAGTTTCTTACAAAGGACTTGAAACCCCCAGATACTTGCACTGCACCATATTTGCTATGATATATACTTGCACTGCACCAAATTAGCTAATATTGCGATGAACACTCCCACATGAAGTTTAAGAGCAATAAGCAAGAACTGTTAAAATAACTCAACAATCACACAGTTGCCACATACACTAAAAAGGATAATCCTCATATAGGAAAAACTCTAAACGTACCGTTCGACAAAAAGATAAAATTGATGATCTTAAAACAGAGCTAAGCATAAGCCTCAGTAGGCACCGGCCTTGTTATAAAG